AGAGTGGATCAAGAAACAAAATCCAACAATATGCTGTATACAAGAAATTCCTTTAACTCAAAAGGAAATTCATAGACTGAATATCAAAGGTTGGATAATAATACTCCATGCAACATGTACCCAGAAAAAAGCAGGTGTAGCTATTCTGTCTGCAGACAATGGGAACTTCAAACCAAGAACACTTAAAAGGGATAAAGAAGGTCAGTAAATACTTGTGAGGGGAAAACTTCCAGAGGAAGAGGTAACAATCATAAACATCTATGCACCAAATGCAGGAGCACACAACTATATAACAAATTTTAACAGACATGAAAAATGAAATAAGCAGTAACACAATCATAACAGGGGACTTTAATACCCCACTGTAAAAAAAAGATCGATCAACTAGACAAAAAATTAGCAAAGAAATAACAGAGCAAAACCAAACCTATGAACAAATTGACTTAGACCTTTACAGAGTGTTCCACCCAACAATATCAGAATACACATTCTCCTCAGCTGCACATGGGACATACTCTAAAATAGACCATATACTAGCACATAGAACAAGCTTAAGGAAATGCAAAGGAATTGAAATTATCTTATGCACACTATCGGACCACAGTGCAATGAAAATGGAAATTATTGACAAAAGAAATTGCAAAAACTCCATAAACACATGGAAAACAAATAACACTCTCCTAATCAACCAATGGATCACAGATGAAATTAAAGAAGAAATTAAACAATATTTACAGTCAAACAAAAATGCAGATACAACTTACAGGAACCTGTGGGATACAATCAAAGTGGTCCTCAGAGGGAAATGTACAGTGGTGAATTCCCACATCAGGAAAACAGAACGAGCACAAAAAAGCAATCTTGTGCATCAGCTCAAGCTTTTAGAAGAAGAAGACCAAGTCAATCCCAAAGCCCAAAGAAGGCAGGAAATTATAAAGATCAGAGCAGAAATTAATGCAAAGGAGACTAAGAAAACAAGATCAAGAAGTAACGAATCAAATAGTTGGTTCTTGAAAGAATAAATAAAATTGATAAACCCCTAGCCAACTTATTAAAAAAAGGAAAGAAAAAAACTAAAATTCACTCAATAAGTAATGAAAGGAATAATATCACTACAGATCCTGTAGAAAGGTGACTTAGACACCACAAGTTAACCAGACTCCAAAATCACCTCATAGATTTTCCACAACCCTGAAGCAACATCAATTCTTAAGTTAAAAAGATCTGGTAAAGTGTTTCTAGCATGTCTTGTTTATAGATTTTATCTGCACTGGTATACTGCTAAGGTATCAACTGACACTTTTTTATTCAAGTTTTCCCCACCATTCAGAAAGCAGCAAGAGTTTCTTCTCAGCCCAGCCTTCACAGGAACATGTTCTATACCAGAGAAGAAAGAAAATTCTTGATTTTGTGTTCTGGAATAGACTCCAGACTCACAGTAGAAAAATAATCTCAAATGCTGCTTTAGTTCTCTAGAGCGTCCATTACAAAATAGCACAGGTTTGTGGCTTAAATAACAAAAAGATATTTCTTGTGGTTTTGGAGCTAGATCAAGATGTCTGCAGATTCGGTTTCTTCTGAGGCCTGTCTCATCTTGCAGATGGCATTTTGCACTGCATGCTCAAATGTTTCCTTCTGTCTCCTCCTGTGGCCTCTTCCTGTGCATCTCTGTGGTATCTTTGCAGGTCCACATTTTCTCTTCTGAGAACACTAGTCATACTGGATTCAGCCCCCCATTAACCCTCATTTTAACCAGACCACCTCTTCAAAGACTGTATCTCCAAGTACAATCCCATTCTGAAATACATATGGTTACAGTTTTAACATATGAATTTCAGAGGGAGACAATTCAGCCGATAACATTTGGTGAAGTTCTGGACTTCTGACGTCTCTTTTTGTGCCAAGAGCAGACCTAGACCAGACCTAGAGACCAGAAAATGAAGTTTTTTGTTGCTGTTAAGAAATTTAAAGATTACAAAAGACATCACGTGCAAAATTTACTAATGCAGATCCACTGCCATCTAAAGGCCTCCCACAGTATTACAAATCAAATTTTGTTTCTGTTTATCAGACCAGTTGATTTTTAAGTACTATAGAGATTAATTTTTAGGCATTTGTATATTTTCAAATCAACTAAACAAATGTTACCGTTACCCTTTAAACAAATTATATGGGCAAGAGAATATATGTACTATGGCAGGTTATGTGAAATTGAACATTCCAATGTTTATGGAGAATTTTAAAAAGTACTCTTTAAATTCTTTCCAAAATAATAGTCTGCTGGACATGGTGGTACACACCTGTAATCCTAACACTTGGGAGGCTGGGCGAGAGGATTGCTGCTAGTTTGAAGCCAGCCTGGACTACATAGCAAGACACTGTCTCAAAAAAAAAGGGGGTTTGACAAATGTGTGCAGTAAAATTCAGTATTATAAGCCACAAAAAGCCACTGAGTGAGTTATTTTAGCATCTAAAACTTAAGCTAACTGATCATAAAATTATTTAGCTAATAAATACACATCTAAGATAAAAAGTTGCTATATTATAGTAATGCTTTTATTAAAAGGTACATCTGTTATTATAATGAAATTCAAATCTAGAAATCAATAATATTATAACTTATTTCTGAATGATTCTAAATTATTGTATAACTCTGTAGTTATAAAACTCAGTCAATGGAATACTAAAAATTACTAAGCTTCACAGCATGGTATTAATATTACATATAAGTAAAGGTACTAAATTTGAAAAAGTAAACAAATTAGATAAGCCAAAGTTCTATCCTTTGGGCATCTCTCAATGGCAAATATTGCTACATTTAACACATCAGTGTGGATTAGAGCCAGATGTCATTATTGGTTGTCTTGGTCTAATCATGCTAACACACCACAGACTGAGCGATTTCAAACAACAATAAAAATTTTGTCCCAGTTTGGGAGGCTGGAAGGTGAGAATCCAGGTGTCCTCAGAGGTGGCAGATAGCCTCTCTCCTGGGCTTGCAGACAGCTGTGCGCTCACTGTGGACTCACGCAGTCTTTCCTTGGTGCTTGCAGTCTCTGATGTCTCTTCTTCCTCTTACAAGGCACTAATCATATCCAATAAGAGCCCCACCCTTACAACCTTATTTAACCTGATTATCTCCCTAAAGAACCTATTTCCAAACATTGAGAGTAAGATCTTCTATGTACCAAATACAGAATACCAAATACACACAATTGGTAGAGACACAATTCACTCTATAGTACTAATATACTCGTATCACTCAAAGAAATTAATTTGTGTCTGAGTAGAAGATTGAACTTATCATTCACAACAAAAAAGATGAGGCACTTTGTAAAAGGATAGAAAAAGACTAATGTGCAGGGTAAACACTTCTGTTTGAAAATACGCCTTTTGAAACAAAGTACATGTTAGTATTTACACTCAGATTGTGCAGGGAATAGGGCATGGAGGGGAACACATCAATGTGAGGCAGAAGTTGGAGAAGAGTGGACAGGAAAAGTTCCGTGGGGCTCACAGTGAGTATGATCCTCCCCAGGGACAGTACTGGACAATTTACAAAATTCTCCTACCAAGTGTGAGGTGGAGTCCAGCACATGAAGACTACAAGAAATGTAACAGTTGCTATTCAGCAAGTAGTTAAAAAGACTGTGGATGAATACATGTAGCACTCCAGTCCACATGATTTACAAGGACCACGAGGTTACAAATCAATATGTCTTTTCCTTGGAGTGACCACCCCCCAGAAAAGAATTTCCAATCCCCAATTCAGCACCTGGGGGATGGGGTGTGGAAGGAAGTTTTTTGCTAAGCCATCAAGAAACAAACCTTTTTTAGTCACACTTGTCCTCATGCCATCAATGTTCTAGTACCTTCATCTCACTAAGAGAATCTCAAAGTACCTCCTCCCAAAATCAAATATCCTCCAAGGAGACTGTGGCCTTCCATGTGTGGTCCATCTGGGAGTATGATTTTGGCAAGAACTCCATGACAGAGGGTAAAGATGAACCCAAGGTCAGTGCTCCCCCAGCAAATAGTAAGGAAGTGGTTGCTGGGCTCTGACCAGTGAACAGCTCAGTCTTCTTGAGGGTTCTTTCCTGTTCCTGTTCCAGAGATTCGTTTGGGGCTTTCAAGGGTTATGGCAGAACAAGTTATCAGTTTATTCCAATATCATTAGGTACTGTAAGTGTCACACCCGAATTCTTTATCTATTGTGCTAAATTAATCCGTTGGTCTATTAGCCTCTTAAATTAGTATTTGTGTGGGTTGTGTAATTCCTAATCAATTACATTTTCGTTATGTAATGACTATTGATTTTTTGTTACCATCAAAGTGTTTCTTTACATTTAAAACAGACGCAGATAATAACTTTTTTCTTTTAAATGAGGAGCTATATAGTAAAATATTAAACTAGCTGTTCACATCCGGAGGCTTGCTGAGAGAATGAGGCGCCTTTTGGCATCCACCGCATGTAAGGGATGAACTCTGCATCTAAGAGCACACCGGTTACACACAGTCCAGACAGAATTCAGCAAACTGTCAAGGTATTTTCTGCTCTTTCACCCTTCAAACCTCTGGTTTCTCTGATATGAGAAACCCAAGTTATAAATAAAGAGAAAAGAAAAGAAGTAGAAAGATCTTCCTTCAAGGGGAGGAGGAGAGGACGCGGAGGAGAGGGTGGTGAAGGAGTCGGATGTGTTGCTTAAGGTCAGGGCGGCACACAAGGGGCGGAAACGCTGTGCACTGCAAACATGGACTAAGAAAATTTTTTTTTAAATCTTGTGCAGTAACTGTTTTCTTCTGTACTATGCTCTGTATACTAATGAAGGTTTTGATGCCTTTTCACAGAAAAATTCTTTACGACAGGAAATATGGCTGGGAAATAACCAAGATCAGTTCCCTTAATTAGTATCATCTTCAGAGCAGTCCTGGGGTGTCCAGCTGTTCGCTAACGCACTTCAGGGGATGAAACGATAAAACGTGGGCCTCTCATGTATGAATTAGGAGACCATGGGATACAAACGAAGCTTTGATCCTACGCACCCTCAGAATCCACGCAGGCGAGATCTACCAAACTGGGCTGCGCGAGGGACGCATTAGCGGTACTTCCTCCACGCAGGCATACAGGGTGCGGTTACACCTGGGTCTCCCAGGTTGCGCGAAGCCGCGGTGCAAAGCGTTCGGGTGGGTTCCGTGTAAACCTGCACGGGTACCAGCCTGGCACCCACTGGCCGGCAAGCCGCACAGCACGTCAGCCCCGCCGCGGTCCGCACGCAGATTCGGAGGGGGCGGGGAGAACGTCGCGGCGGGGGGCGGGGCCATCAGGGGGCGGGACTTCAGGCCCCGCCCCGCCCTGCGCGTCCGGTCGGATCTCGCCCGGAGCGTCCCTGCGCCCTCCTCACACGCTCCTCGGCTGTGCCGGCCGGTGCCGCGCGTGGCCATGACTCAGCACTTCTCGCTGGCCGCCTGCGACGTGGTTGGCTTCGACCTGGACCACACTCTGTGTCGTTACAATCTGCCCGAGAGCGCCCCGGTGAGTGGCGCACAGCGTCAGCTCCATGGCGGCCGCCGGAGGAGCCTCCGCGGGGCCCCGCGCGCGTGCGCAGAGCTCCGCCTCCGCCCGCCGGGCGGAAGTGCGCGGACCCGCTGCTCGGCTGCCGCGCGGGAGCCCCCGGCCCACCTTGCGTGCGCCGCTGCCCGAGAGCCCGAGGAAGACGGAGGGTGCACGTCAGGGCCTAGGGACGGCTTTTAAGGCGGAGGAAGGGTGGCCGCGGAGAGCTGCTAGTGGCTTCACAGGGGCCGGCCTTGGGACCTCTTTGCACGCCCTTTCAGGCTCCAACCAGTTGTGGATGCCGCCGCCTGGTCTGGGATTTGGAGTTTTCGTGGTTGCGTTTGACCCTTTGCCATGTGCAAGCCCCTGCTTGTCGGGTTTTAAGCACACACCAAGTTTAAACATTGCATTGAGGAAGAGACTAGTGTGTTTGGCTGAAAATGCCAGTGAGATCTTAGCTCAGATTTTGCCTTTGCAGTGAGAATAAAATAAACATTTATTGCGTGCCCAGTAAGTGCTCCCTGCATTTTGAACATACTCTAATCCTAACAGCTTTCTGAGCCTCACTGAACCCTTCGGGTAGGGAGGGTGGAGTGCTAGAGCAGACCTGTGCTCCCAGAAAATTGGCTGCCTGCCCCAGTTTCTTTGGTTTCACAGGAAACTAATTGTGAAAAATTAACAGGCTGTTACAGTGAAAATGTAAGCATCCGGGGGCTTGGGATTTAGCTCAGCGGCAAAGCTCCTGCCTGGCAAGCGCAAGGTCGTGAGTTCGGTTCCCGGTACCGGAGAAAAAACCAAAAAAAAAAAGAAAGTAAGCATCCAAAAAGTTGATTGTGGGTGCCACAGCCAGGGACAGGACTTCAGCCAGACAGCCTAGCTCAGGCCCCAGCTCAAGTTACTTAACCCGTGTCCTTTCTCAGTTTCTGTAAAATAGAGCTAATAATTGAGTTTACCTCAATGTTGCAAGGATTAAGTGGACAATAGTTATGTAATACTTAGAGCAGTGAAACAATGCCCAGCAGAATCGAGTGTTTTGCTTTCATGGTTTCCACGCAGTCGATTTGGAACCCTAACCACTCGGGGGTAGAATGTAGGCCAGTGGGGCAGACAGCGGTCAGGCTGCTTAGCCATGTCAGTTCTCTGGTCAGTTTAGGTCCTCCAGGGTACACCACAAGTGGCTCCCTGAATTTCTTGTGTTTTCTGTGCACAAATATTTAAAAATAGTGTGTTTTTCCTGCTGTACTTTTCTGCCTTCCAATTATACAGGCCTGGTTTGCTAAATCTGGTGAAGAGAACACTTTTATTACTTGATCTTTTGCCATTCCTTCCTGTATGTTTTTGACTCATATTTTCCTTCCTGTTGTGCCTTTCAAATCCCCCCTATCCGGCTCACATTTTGGTGCACTTCCTGTGTACCCACTTTTATTTTCAGGGAATGTTGTTAAAGTACTGTCACGTTAAGAGCCAATTTCGTGCATGTGTGAGCATAAAATTTCAGACTGTAAGATCCTCAAAGACAAGGTACTCTTGACTACAAGCCTGAATAAAAGTGATGTTGAGAGATTGAAAACATCAATCCAGTGAATTCTGTCTCGTGTTCGGTGCAGCAGTCTTTTATTAAGACCCATGGTGTGCTGAGCACCGAGACAGAGCAGGGGATAAAGTGAGGAACACAGCCGGTGCTCAGTATGCAGCCGGTGCTCAGTATGCAGTGAGAGGCAGCCTGGTGGTATAACGGGAAGGTTGTCAGAAGTTAGTTCGGTCCACTGGGGAGAGCGTGGTTCATGCTGCTGCCTGTATAGAGAGGGCCTGTGCCCTGCCTCACAGAGACTTCTTCCTGTGTCCTGCAAGTCTCGTCTTCAATACTGTTCCCTTTGGGATGCCAGCTCCAGCCCATCTTACCCCCAACATTTACCCGTTTACCTCAGTCCCGCCTTCATTTGCCATGGAACCCAGAAGTTAGTTCGGTCCACTGGGGAGAGCGTGGTTCATGCTGCTGCCTGTATAGAGAGGGCCTGTGCCCTGCCTCACAGAGACTTCTTCCTGTGTCCTGCAAGTCTCGTCTTCAATACTGTTCCCTTTGGGATGCCAGCTCCAGCCCATCTTACCCCCAACATTTACCCGTTTACCTCAGTCCCGCCTTCATTTGCCATGGAACCTAACTTCTAGCACTTCCCACATGGCTTTCACGCTTCCAGTTTGTTAGAATCTTAGTGGAGGATGGCCACAGTTTACTTTTGTACTGTGCCTAGCCTAGTGCTACACACTGGGCTCAATAGATATGTGTAGAACTGGATAAGTAATAAACATTTTAATAAATGGCTATGACAGAGGGACTGCATAAGCATTCTGCTTACATGACTCGATTTAATCTTCACCCTGGAGGTGGGTGTTATTACCACAGTCAGTATGTGGAGATGAGAGCCTCGAGGCACAGAAAGGTTCCCTGACAAGGGTGTCTGGCTGCAGGTTTCTGACTTTCGCTGCTGTGCTGTTCACATAATACTAAGCACAGAATGCCCAGGAGCAGGTCCACAGAGGGGAGTTGGCAGGTGAGGAAGTATGGAAGTGTTTTTCAGGCAGAGAAAACACAACAAAGGCAAAGACCTAGCAAGGAGCAAGAGCTGCTTGCTGAGTGCTGTTCAGGGTGTGGAGAGCGCAGGGAAGATTCTGGTAGAGTCACTGTGGGGTCCATTGCATGATGGAGAGCTGCAGGTGCCTCCCCCTTGGGTCTCATAGGCATTTAACAAGTGCAGAGTGTCCTGAAAACATGGGTGCAGTCTCCTGGGGCCTCAGGAAAAGTGTGTCAGGTGAAGAGAGGACAGATGACAGCCATGTTGTCCCAGGATTCTAGACCCGGGGTCTGATACCAGTCAGTTTACCTATGTGTGAAGCAGAGTAGGTGCGTTGCAGCCAGGAGGGTATGTGACCTTTCTAAAGGAGCAGCCAGACTTGACTGATACTCACCAGTCCTTCGAGGGCTTGTAACTCCTTTTTAGTGAGCCAGAAATCAGACTTTACTTGAGAAGTTCTTCAATTTTATAGCTTACCTTATTTTCTAAAGCAGCAGGATTATAGAGTCGCTAGATTTAGTATAGAAAAATATAGAATACTCAGTTAAAAATCCAATTTCAAATTACTGAAGTGTTTTTAGTGTATGTGTGACCCAAATATTGTGTGGGATATGCTTGTCCAAAAAAAAGAAAAACTTTTGCTGAAAATCAGATTTCTCTAGGTGTTCTTTCTTTGGCAACAGTAAGTGGGGGAACAGACATAATGTGTGGGCTGACCATGACCCACAAAACACCATTTGTAACCACTGTGAAATGTGCATTAGGTGCATGAGATAGAAAGAAAGGAAGCGGCAGCTCAGAGTAGAGGAGGAAGTGGTGGAGGATCCTCTGCCAGGAGGCTGCCGGCATGCCTGACATACTCTCAGGACAAACTGCACAACCCAAAATCTTAGGACAGTGATGGCAAACCTTTTAGAGCTTTCAGTGGTAACAAACACATGCCACAGGTTCACCACCCCTGCCTTCAGACTAGAATAAGGGTTTAAAGGAACAGACTCCTCTGCTGCTTTCAAAATTGCTTGTCTCTGCTTCTTCTTGTACATTGGTCCTGTTCCCCCAAAAAAAGTGTCTTCCCAGGGGTAAGGAACACAAGTGTGGAAGCCTCTCTTGGCAGCCCTAATGGATAAGATCCCTGTCTCTCAGGAAGGAATCTAATTATTCCTTAGAGCAGTGGGGGTGAGCCAATGCATTCATACCACAGTGGGCATGTAGAGCCCTCTCTGTTGGTACACGAGCCAGGTTGCCCCAACATCACCTCAGCAGCCAAGCATCAGATAACTTCGCACATAGGGGCCATACGAATGCTCAGAGAGGAGTAGCATCACCAGGCAATGACATCATGAGCAGTTTGGGCACTTGGTCTTAATCATCGGGGTGAAAAATTCCACTTGTCCACGAGTGTAAAGTGCCGTGAGTACAGGTGAGACCGATGGTGTGCAGTAGGTGGCCAGTGAAAGCCAACTGGTTCAGGAAATGTGAGCAGGGAAAATGTTGGAGCTTGAAATAGGCAGTGGTGGGAGCTTGTATGCCATGGAGATGTGCAAATGCTCTGAGTCAGAGTGGTATTTTGACTAGCACATGACTGATGGTAATAGCAGATACTATTATCCATACCCCAGGCAGTGCTCTAAAACTTTACATCTGTTAACCCTATTGTGGGAAGGGTCCTCTGGTTCCAGGCTCTTGTCCCATTTAAAGAATCATCCAGAGACAACCAGTATACACAAAAGTTTCATTTTTTGAAGATAAAAAAAGGAAAAAATGAAAGTGAGAAAGAAGAGAGAAAAGAAGAGAAAATATGCCCTGCATAGGGTGGATCACTGGAAGAGTAGGAAGACGATGTGAGGAGGCCCAATGGCTGCCATCTTTTTTACCCTCCTCTGACTCAGATCCAGGCTTTGGCAAGCTGTTCTGCTGTGTGATTTGACAGCTCTCCATGACTGACAGGCCCTGCTTTACTGTCCATCCTCTTTCCCAGTTCTGTGCAAGTGACAGGTCCCATCTGATTGCCAGCCTCCTTGCCATGCCCTAATCTCCTACCCAACTCACAGGTACATCTCCCAGATGGAGTATAAACATCACCACCTAGCCAGGCCTTCCCCAGTCCTTTTCTGCATCATACCCTTTCCCCCACCCTCATAACCTATGTGCTGTCCCAACCTGTCATAGGTTAGCATTTGCAGAAGGTCGAACTGTTCAGTTCATACTTTTGGGTGCTGACCCTCCTGCCTCAGGTCTGAGGGCATCTGATGCTTTTTTAAGCCACCCTTCCAATTTCAAGGGAAGTTATATCTATGTGGGCTGTCATCCACTTTTTTGTCCAGTTTTTGTCCAGTTTTTGTCC